TACTCCCCGGTAAGGACAACAGCGCGTGTTCGTTCCCCACTGCATACACCTGTGGTCCGGAGTTTTGCAAATATCTCAGCACTTCATACGAGTTATATTTCACAACATACCCTGCCATTAAGAAGAAAAAGGCAGTAAATGAAAGAGTTAAAATTCGCCTATACTTTGCTACGGAGACGAGTGCATGTTACATTCCTCTGGAATTGATGGGCACCTAACGCTTTATCTCCTAGCAACTATGGGTTGTTTTAAAGAGTGGACCCTCTGAAGGAAATTCGTAGACCAAAAAATGTCAGTCACTGATGTTAGTTTCATCCTTTATTACTGTTGGAACTTAATTTCTGCCAACACTATAGCTTTTCGATAAAAGCATTCACCGTTTCTCTCCTCTTTCTTCTTTTTCCTTCTCCTTTTTCCATTTCTTCCTTTGTTTTTCTCCATTTTAGGTAACTCCATGTTTCACTATTTCTCTAACCATTTGTCGAACGAAAGTGCTTCTTGTGAAGAGACACATCTATCCAACGATGTTTCAATTGATGCTAGAAGGAGTGCATTTGAATGTTCTGAGAATTTGATCTTTGCGAATCTTTTGCAGCCAAAGCGAATCCTAGATGTTTCACCCATAATTATTTTCTTAAGTCCATTAAACCTTGATCTTTATACGCACTAATGCACGCTATCACTGGACTGTTTCTCCTAAAATCCGGTTTCTTCAGTGTTCACAGAATCATATACTGCCACAGCAGTACTATCCTCCAGGTGTGGTTCCTACACCGCAGCAATGGGAGCGCTCTTTTCCAGAACGAGCAGCTCAGTTTTCCATGAATGTCGTCCAAACAGTCGCCAGTGAACCTAACCGGGGTTATTCACAAAATCCCAACTATTTGGAACAACCGAGTTTTGTTACTACACCACATAACATGAATTTCACCTCATGATAACATGGACATCAAAACCACCTCATGGTGCAAAACTCACATGTTTAGCAAAATGCAGGGTTTATTCGGGGTGTGGCAGTTCTATTCACACACCCACAGTTTCCTTATAAAATTCAACCACAAAACAGAAACATCACACAACAAAGAGCCATAAGCCATGACGTGCAGTACGGCAGAGATCCAGCCTTCATGCAATACGAACAAATCAGAGACCCTCCGATTTACAATGATTCTATTAATAGGGTTAGTACCATTTTTTAAAGGTATCAAGATTTTGATGCTAACACTTTTGTTAAGGAACGTACTCAGTTTGAGGCGGTACCGCCTCTCTGTGTAGGTGAACCGCTGAGTAATTAACACAGAGTCTTTGTCAGACATGCGCATATCAGACTAGTACTTACACTAGATTCCGATCAGAAACTTTCAGAGATGAGTCTTTATTATTTTGTGCAATGATGTCGGTAAGCCCCTTTCCGGAGCCAATGTTGCTCTGAGGTTCGGCAATGAAGCGTTGCAGGAAGTATATGAAAAGTAAACTTTCATCCACTTCCATTTAGTTTCAGGTGCCAATTCTACGTACTCAAACGGGGCATTTTCGAGTGCCTGAGGAAAGTGCCGGAGACCTATTTCACCACACCAACTACGTGAATTGCCAGGGTAATCAGCGATTTTTTTTATTTTTCGTACGTCGCGTTGCATAAGAATACAAGCATTAGGCGAGAAGTCTACTGAGCACCACTTTTAAATTAGCAGCGGCGTGTAGCCCAATTGTTAGCGAAGCGTCGATCAGGAAGTAAAGACATTGATTCGACTCCCTTCCTACTATTTCCTCCAACCTCTCGTGGGAACGTTTTAACTCGGCACTCTCCAAGATTTCAAAGGGAACCGACGCACCCACCAATCTACGCTATTCATAAGGAAGACGAAATGCTTTAGCAGTAGCGAATGAACACGTGAAATATCAGAAGACCACTGTGGACAATGAATGCGAGAAACACGAATCGAATACAAGAAGTGGTGACAGGTAAGAGTAAGAAAAAATAGAAAAGTGTTTTTGATGGAGGCTATTTGAATGGTAATGTAAGGTACAAGCCCAGTGCTTTATATATTTTGCCGCCTATTGTTACTCATCGGACAATGTTGTAGCGACAACGGAAATGATTGATGGGATCGAAGCTGGTGATGATGTTTTGACTGGAAAACAAAGATGTCGGAAGAAGAGGCTAGTCAATACCTTGGAGAATGGTGCCAATGCAGAAGAAGTTCAGTCGTCGAAGAGAAGGCATGCTAACCGTTTTCTTTAGAAAATACTATTGGCTACATTCTCTGTAGTTGAAATGAATGCCTGCGTTTTTGCAACGCGGTCACAGATTTGTCTGCATTTCGATAATTTCCGAGAGTTCATTGGACCTAATTGTTGCGGCTTTGTCATATCTGAAATCAGATGATGGTTGTCTAATTGTTTTCACCTTCAGAGTAGATACAACCCTTTAAGAACGAAGTGCAAGACATTTTTAACAGAGGCTGCATGACACTCGAATGTCTTTTGAGTAGAATGCGGAATGTCTCCTTCTGTTGACAAGGATCTGCCGTTTCAATGATCCTCATTTTCACTAACAGCGTTTGTTACGATGTGAGATATGTGGCATAAAGCTGGAAGTTGATGATATTTACACAATATATGACTCGCATACGATTCACATGGTTGCCATTATGTTAAAGATTGAGAAGAGTTATGAACCTAGTCTACTCAACTCTTAACCCATGCAACTTTTGAACTTAACCACTTTTTTCTTAGGTAACACGAATTTCCATCTGCGTTAAATCTCACCACTTCCGCATTTACCAGCAAGGTTCATATTCCATGAACCACTAAAATTCAGTCAATTTAAAAAAAAGAGATCTGCCACGACTGTTATTTTCTAACAACGATAAAATTTGTTTAAAGGTTCCTTTTCTTTCAGACGTGGTAGACCGAAAACACATAAATCAGATGGCGATGGAGCAAACTTCCAGCTAGGAGAAACAAGTACGGATAAGCAGACAGCTCTATCGACTCGTCGCGTGCTTTTGGAACAAACGAGGAACAATATGGCATTTCGAGTAAGCTATCAAAGGGGCCAAACAATGCATTCGTTACCAAGTTTTGTCTACATTTATCCATATATGGCAATTATATGGCCTTGTTTTCTTCTATTACTGCATATTTAGAAAGGAACATTCCTGATTCGATACGAGGATTTGGACAAGCCCGAGTATGCTGGTCATATCTGGCTCGTTAACAGTCACCGATTGCTGCAAAAGTACACCTTTGATGGGATCTATGCTTCGAATGTTAGAGTTTTTAGTCGAACTAACAGGGTAAGAAACTCTATAAAGGCCGGGATATCCGTTGGATAACGCTTAGATTTGAAACACTACTTCCACAGATCGTTTGTTTTAGTTCAGTGGTTGGTTGCACGATCGTTCGTGGCTGTACCATCCGCTTTATGATGTAGAAAGTGTCCTGGGGAAAATGGAAAAGGTGAGCTTGCGTTGTTTTCCTTAGTGCATATTTGAGAAAAGAACATGTCTGAATTCTTTCTCGCTTTATTGTTTTTCCACGCATCTAGTTTCTTTAACCTCAGACCTCGATTTCGAAGAACGTTACTCAAGTAGCACATAAGGGGTTTCAAAGTGTACAAAAAGTGGCCAGATAGGTGTCCTAATGTGCTGGTGGACTCAAGGGGTACCATTTCTCTTACGATCGGTTGACTTTGTCAAAAACCATAACTTTTTCGTTAATGCCGAGGTTAATTGAAATTCGACCTATGAAGTTGTTTTTGTGAATATTCATCTGAGTCCTACAACATCTTTCCTTCATATACCTCGTACATCTGTAAGAGTACATCCGACAATTCTTCCACGAAAATCAACTTTAAGGTGGCGATCAGAAACCATCCGACCAGAGATGAACTGTTTGCACGGAGGAATGCTGAAAGTAGAAGGGCATTAGAGACTGAATTGGAGCAAATGAAAGACAGTGAAAAGACAGGCGCTTCAGGTGGTGGAAATTCCAATGAAGAACACGAATAGTAGACATCAACGTGGCAAAATATAATTATGTGACCTTTTAAAGATGGACAGCCCTAATATTAATCGTTAATTTATTTCTTTGTGTATCAAAAAGTATTGTTACTCTCATCTAATAAAACTAATTGGTAAAGTAAACTGTCACATTATCCACGAGTTACTGACTGCGTATCATTAACGCGATCTGCTTTGTTGTAGCTGATTGGCAGAAATGTTTTGTACACGTATAGTTCAGAGAATGTTACGGTTATCAGCTTTCTACAGAATTGCTCTGACATAAAAAAACGCTAACATGTAACCTGAAATTAGAAATTTTTTACATCTTGTTTCATTGAAAAATAATCACTCGAAAACATTAAGTGGATGAGCAGAGAACAGGGTGCTGCTTTTTAAAACATGACGTGAGGTTGTTCCAAGTACGATGTATTGCGAGTTTTGTTATAACCTGAGTGAAAGGTTTGTAGACAACAAACAGAAAGCACATTGGACAATAGTTCTCGACGTCGTAGAGGTCACCATTCTCGAACAATAGCACGGCCTTGCCCGTCTTTAACTGAGCAACGACCTTGCATTCAGACACGTATCGTATGAGGAGCCGAGTTAGTGTGTTTAAAAGAACTGGCGAGATGTTGTGCATGGGTTCAGATATTGTCTTGTCCAGAGCAAGTGCTGTTCGATTTTTCATCTACGAAATAGCATGTCGGATTTCGGAATTGAGAACCGGTGGTATGATATATCCTTTCTCCTTTATTTCTACCGAATACAGGAGGATGTGGCAATTGAAGAGATCTGAGTAACAGTCGTAAATGATTTTCTCCATAGCATTCCTGGACGCTACACGAGTTCCGTCTAGGAGCAACCATCTTGGTCTTCTAATTGGCGAAGTCTTGATGGACTTTGCGAACGCTTTTACCAGCCTTTGCGCTTTAACCGTAACTGCTGCTCTTTTCTCTTTAAGATCTTTTCTTACCTACTGTCAGCAGTGATTTGCAAGCTCGAGCGTGAGTTAACTGTTGCCTGCAGCTCGTGCGATTCCACGCTGGCCAGTCAGCTCGAGTGTTTCTGGGGACAAACGTCCCTTGGTGGTTTCCAAACTCTCAGCTTTCATTGTCCTAATTTGAAGGTGCTGAATGAGTTGTTCGTGTTCCTCGTCGATGTTATCGACAACATCATCTTTCCAACAGCCGACTAATGAACGGAATAAGTCCCAGTTTATGGTGGTTTTGGGACTTCGCCTTTTCAGTTCCGCGGTTTCTTCTCCTTTCCGCGAAAAACGAAATAGGGCACGAAGGAGGCAAAATGGTCTGATAGTGTGTAAAATTTTGAAACAACGACAAAATCGGCTTGGAAAAATCTTCTATTTACGATGATGTGGTCTACTCAGTTATGGTACTCTCCATTGAGAGAATGCCACTTCCAGCGTTGAGGGTGGAGCTTATGGAATTGTGAGTTACAATGAATGGTCTTGGCCATCATGACGAACTTAAGCAATCACTTACGCTGCTGGCTCCATTCGTGGGTACCCCAATATAACAATCTTCAGACGTTCTCTGCACCCAATCTTAGCATTAAAGTCTCCAGTAATAACCTGGTATAATGTAAGGTATTTTCTGTAGAGCTTCTCCAATACCATACAGAACACTACTTCTTCTTGGTCACTGTTTTATGTCGGCGCATGAACGACGAATGTTGTCTAAACCGGTACTGATTCACATCTCATCGATCGTAAATGTTCCTCTCTGTTTGTTACTTGTTCGAATGAATCGATGTTCATGGCCAAGCTCAAGTTGACGAGAATACTGATGCCGCCGACTCCTCAGCTGTAGCATGTTCTATTTTATTGCCGCATATTCCGAGGAACAGCTTTTTACGGTGTCACAGATGGAGCAGAATGGGTGTCGTCGCCCTGATTTTGCCAGTGCGGTGACGCCGTACTTCATCCTTTTTGCTTGCATGATTAAGCCTTCAATCGAGGGCTCAGATGCAAGTGAGCGCAAATTTTAGGTACAAATCGTCACCTTAGTCTTGCGCGATTTAGGCAGCTTAGAGTAACCCTGAGATTTTAACAACCTCGCCGTACTCGTCCTACCCAACGCGGCCGGTTAGGGGACTGTTTCGGGGTCAGGGGAATGAGGCCTGCTTTTTTTGCTGTGTTTAGCATTTTGTTACCCACGTATGGCTTGCTGGGCTCTGAACGTTGGGTATACTCATGCGTAGCTTTTCAGTCTCTCGTAAAGTGGATATGGAGCTTATTTGTTTGAGATGGGTCCTAGCCGCCTCCCATATGCTTCCCTGTCACTTGATTACAAGCTTTGGCTGAATTGATTCGTAGAATACAATGTATACAAGCGAGAACGTACCCACACACGCATGCATAAATATGCTTAGCATATACAGAAATTGTGTGCCAAATCGGTGCAGCAGAAACAAGTAATCCATCCTCTGTTTCCACCTGCGTCTTCGGAAAGCAAAGGCCGCATTTGGTCCGCGTTTAACCCCTTATCCGCAACATGCGGACGCTGTGCGCAGCATCGCAACTAACTGGTTCGAGGTCCTTCGTATGAGGGGAATTCTTGAGTTTTCAAGATATACGAAACCAAATGTAGAAAAAAGGGATTTCGGCTTCTATGTCGTCTTTTGAGCGATCGGTTACTACTTCATTCTTGCTTTCGTTCCTGATTTCGGTTTCAACATCTTTCCGGTTTAACTAGTAGGAAGACTGAGCGAAAGATTCGTCGCCGAAAACATACCTCCTTCAGATCCACATCGTGCTGAAGATCTGGGTACGCCGTTGCAAGGTTGAGACAGGACTGCAAGTAAAACCAGCATGCACAACCGGCAATAGGTCAGCCTCAGTAACCCGCACACTGAGTACTCGCGTCTACCACGTCATTCGGTGAGACGACCGGTGAGAGTCCAGAAAATCTCGGGTTACGCAGAACGTCTTTGGGACCAGATCTGCCGAACACACGCACGATACGCCATGGAGATTGTTTCTTATTCTGCACGTGAAATGCCTGAGCACCCTCTACAGACGCCGATCTTCAGGCTGTTATTGCAGCCGTAGATCGCATTAAATTTTATGTGGTCGTGCTGCAAGAAAGAAAAACGAAGACCGACATACGCAAACTAAACAACGGGACACTTGTGATTGAGAAAAGTTGAGAAAAGGTCCCGTCACGAAATGTCGGCGGCGTAGGCTTTGTCGTCCACCCGTCCATTGTCCATCTCGTCGACTCAAAAGAGATCCTTTGTCCTCGCTTAGCCGCCCTACGTCTTCAATTGTCGCCTCATAAGAAGATCACTGTCATCAACTGCTACCCACCGGCTGACGCAGCTGATGAGTACGAATTAAATGCATTCTGCTATCAGTTGGAGTAAGTTATCCGCAGTGATAGAGCATATCATAAAGTTGTTGTCGGAGGCTTTAACGCTAGAATAGGAAAGGCCAACGAAAGAAGGTACAAGATTGTCTATTTTGGATTAAGAGAAAGAAAAGGAAATGGAAACCGTCTAGAAAGACTCCTATCAGCAGCACGTCTCTTCCATGGAAGCTCGTTTTTCCAGAAAAAAGGAAGCCGGCGGTGTACATGGGATTCTCCCAATGGCATGACTCATGCGGAGATCAACCATATTCTGACAAACAGGAGATGGTGCTTATTTGATACATCGGTAGTCCCGTAATTCTGTACTGATTCCGATCACCGCCTTCTTCGCGCGAAGATTCAACTCAGCCGCAAGTTGGAGAAGAACCCTCTTCATCCACCACGAGAAAAAACCTAGCTGTATACGACGAGTACATTTTGAATAAAGTCCTATCTAAAAGTGACAGGCAAATTAAAAAAGATCTGACCAAAGACTGCGAGGTGTTTGTTGAAAGACTGAAAAGCTGTGCCGAATTCGCCTCAATTTCTCAAGCAAGAAGATTTGATCGCATCTTCGTCACTACTAAGGAGATGCTCGAAAAAAAAAGAAACTGAAATGTGATGCTACTGCAACACGTTTAACATGGCTAGTAATAAATGCCAGCTGCAGAAGAGCTTTGTAGGAAGCTCTGCAACGGTGCAAGCGGAAGAAAATATTGGAAGTAGCAGAGAAAAGAAACAGTGTGAAAAAATGCCGTTGGGACTTGTGTGATTATAATATTTCGCTGTCACCCCTGATAAACGAAAATTTGATCGTTAAAACTTTTCGCCATGATATGGAACTAATAGCAGAGACGTTCTACACCAACCTTTTCGGTTTCACAATCCCCGTTCCGCGCCCTAATATCTCCGTGGGAAAAAAACCACCTGGAATTCTTCAGTCGGAGGTTCGAGTTGTTATAGAAGGCATGAAAACAGGAACAGTTCCAGGACCTAATAATATTGCCGCCGACTTCCTTAGAGCTAGAAACCACAATTTACATGTATTTCTTTCAAATCATATGACAGCCTACCTTCGAAAGAATAGATGCCTGATCAGTGGACGACGCCGCGTACGGTCATCCTGCCTAAGAAAGGAGACCGAAGGTATCTTCGTAACAATCGGCCGATACGCTTGTTGAGTGTACTCTACAAGCTCTTTACGTAGAATATTCTCTCGCACACATCTAGGACATTGGATGAGGCGCAACCAGCCAAGCAAGCAGGATTTCGAAAAGGATTTTGCTCCAAGGACCACATACAAACCGTGTTCAGGGTTATTGGAGTTTGTCGGGCTACCACTTGCCTCTAGTCTTAACCTTTGTCCACTATGAGAAAGCGTTTGACAGTGTGAAACGAATGCAATCCTATCAGCGCTCGTTGACCAAAGAGTAGAACCGTCCTACATAAGAACTCTGTCCGACTCTTATCGGAACTGCACTAGGAAAATGCAGCTTTTCCATCGACCTCTTACAATACCCATTGGAAAAGGGGTTCGCCAGCGCGACACAATATCGCCAAAGCTGTTCAGTGCCGCACTGCAGTGAATAATGAAATCACTCGATTGGATGAGAAAGGCAAACGTATTGATGGAATATC